TGTGCCAGGATCTGGGGGATCGGGATAGTGAACTCAGTGAAGGTTCCTGTTTCTGAGCCTCCCTCTTGGGGTCGCGATTTGCGCTTGTCTCGGGCTTTGTGCTCGAACTTGTCGCTTTTTTGGCTTGCTTGCTTTGTCGGGTGATTAGCTTGCTTGCCGGCTTTATTTGCCGCAATACGATCGTCGTCCCAAAGTGCGTAGCGCTCTGCCGTCGTGAAGACCTCTGCCAAGGTTTGGCTTGGAGTTATGGCCAGCTCACGGTATAGCTCATGTTCGGTTGGCAAGCCTTTCTTAAAAGCTGAGGATGCAACTTGGTCATTGCATCCTATGATGTTCGCCTTCTCAGCCTTGAACCGTCTGAGGTAGTCTCGAAGAGACTCATCTGGTTTCTTGTGCAGGTTGAACAGGTGGTCTGCATGCTTTTTGACCGTCCTATAGGAGGTGTACTCTTTTGTGAAGATGAGGGCAAACTCCTTGAAGTTGCCTATCGCTCGCAGAGTCATCGTGAACACTTTGCACATCAGGGCGTCGTCTGCCTTGTACAGGATCATGGCACTCTTGAAGTGCCTCAAATGGCTCTCAGGGTCAGAGTCTCCCTTGAACAGAGTGATGGATGGCGTTGTGAACCGCTTTGGCGGCGGAGCTCGTTCCACTTCCTCGGTAAAGGGCGAGCAGTCAACTCGATCAATTTCTTTGCGCAGGGCCTCCTCGTTGCTTCCATTAAGATCGCAGAAGGATTTCTTCGAAGTTGGTATTTGGCCCACTGCTAGCAACATCGATATTGTTCCCAACTTAAGCACCTGTTTAGCAAATGTGGGGTTTTATACAAAAGGCCTTGATGTTATTAGGAGTGGAACCATTTATTATATAAAACTTTCTAATTATTTAAGTTTCCGCACTACTACAAAAAATGAAATAGACGACGGGGATTCACCGTCGTTGTGATGTTTTGAAAACCGTCGTTAAATCGACCGACATCTTTTGAATGTCAAACTACGACGGTTTTGATTGGAAGTCAGACTCGAACAGGCGCATCACTCATCTATCCATCCAATCAACTCATCCTCAAACGCACGGTGAACCGTGCCTGCACGCCGGCATCCAACCACACAACCAAGAAGGACGACCTGTGTTGACACAGATCCACTTGGCCTGGAACACCAGGCCGTGAGATCCGCGAATGCCAACAGATAATTAGAAGGAAAATCAGGAATGCACAACCCAAGACAATATTCAGAGGGTACCACTGCCATGGAAGCACAAAGGAGATATAGACATTAAACATACAGATTTCAGTTTTTCAATTAAAGCCAGTAAATTTTTCATAAATAACTCTTCATGAAAAGGTAACAAGATAGCTCACCATTAAGTTGTCATCAAAGAATTCGTAACCAAAATAGGTAAGCCATTATTGAACATCAGTAGGAGACTTAGGCTTTATTGCCTTTTTTTTTTGTCAAAGATAGGGAAATTTTATTATATGCGAATAGAACAGTTAACATCCTTGGCTAGGTAATTAAACAACCATTCAGGACAAACAATATCCCAGCTGTGCCTGCCACCAAAACGAGAAACATGGGCTGCCACCAAATGTGCAGCTTGATTACAAGTCCGCGGAGCATGCAAAAACTCCACCTTCAGAAACTGTTGAGTCATACGAATAACATCAAAAAGAATCCCTTCAATCTCCACGTCCATGCTAGCTTCCTGATTTAACATATTAATCAAGCTAAGTGAATCTGATTCCACCACTACCTTTTCATACCCAAGTTCTAAGCACCGGATTAGAGCTTCTCGAACCGCCTCCGCCTCCACCATTAAGGCTGACACGCATCGCAAATCCCTTGTACCACCCGCACAAAGGAAACAGCCAATGCCATCCCGAAGGACCCACCCACCCCCCTTGGCCCGTTTTTGCCACCCATGCACCATTGCAATTAAGCTTGACAGAACCTGGGGGAGGACAAGTCCAGGCCGGAGTGATGGTGACTCCAGGTGCAGCCCAAGCAGTCTGCGGCATCCCTTGCGTGGAATCAACCACATGCGCAGCATGGAATTCCGCTATCTGCGTCGGTAAAATAGTCACTGCATCACCGGCTTGCACAGCCACTCCATTAAAGACTACCTCATTCCTACATTTCCAAATCCGCCAGAGGACAAAAGCCATTATTTGCAAAACATCATCTCTTCTTTCTTGAGTTTCATACAAGGCCACCAATCCCATCGAGTATGCCATAAAATCTCCCCCTCTGAGTTGTCGTATATCAAGTTGCAGGGGACTCGCAAACCAAATCGCGCGCGCAAATTCACACTGGAAAAATAGATGTTCCTGTGTTTCATCTGCACACTCACAGAAGGCACATTTATTTTCCACCGGCACCCGTCTTTTTGCCAAATGATGTCGGACCGCCAAAGCATTCATGCAAGCCTTCCAAATAAACATACGAATTTTAGGTGGGATGCGTAGACGCCAAATGCCTATCCAAATAGGTGCATGACTATTCTGCCTACTGCTTTCGCCATCCCCTTTAACTCCTAACTCCCCATTCCGTTTCAAAAACAACGCAAGCTCATATCCAAATCTAACTGAGTAAACTCCCTGTTTCTGGAAGTGCCAAATCAGTTTATCAGGACATCCCAACCGGCTTATCGGCATACTAGTGATCAATTGAGCTTCCTGAGCGTCAAATAAACGTGAGATCAAATCACCCCGCCATGTCTTAAGATCAGCATCAATCAGGTCAGCCACCATAGGAGGAAGATTAGGATGCTTAGATCTCGTCTTAAAAGTGTGAGGTGTGGGCAGCCATGGGTCTAGAGTTACGCGAATCCTCTCTCCAATTCCCACCCGCCACCTTAACCCAGCCTCCAGAATCTGTCTACCTTGCATAATTCCTCTCCACCCCCATGATACCTTCCTTCCAAGGCGTGCCTCAAGAAATCCCACCCCAGGGTGATATTTATCCTGCAACACCTGTCTAAGTAGAGAATGAGGTGTTGTGAATTAAGACCAATTCACTCCCCTTTAGACCTTGTTGTTGATGGACTTTGGACAAGACTCAATGATGGATGAGTCTTACACACACACACAGAAAATAACCAAGCACAAATGACACAAGTGTTTATAGAGGTTCAGCAAATTTTGCCTACATCCTCTTGGTGATCCCCTTGAGAAATTTCACTAATGAAGATAGGTTACAACTTTGGTTTACAACTGAAAACCCCCTTAGAACACTACCCTCACAATCTGTTTCTCTCTCACCCTTGCTCAACACCTTGATACACTTGAGAACTCTCTCTTCTACTTGACTCACTAGTTTCCAGCTACTTCACTCCAACTCTATCTCTTTTGCTTCCTCTTCCATATAATAAACAAGTCTTTGGGCTTGAGAAAAAACTCCTTCTTTTCCTCCCACGTTCTCCCCTTGGTTTCCTGACTTGGACCACACATTGGGCAAACAAAAGGCTCTCCATTCATGGCTTCATGTTCATCCACTCCTTTTAGAACCATAGGGTGGGAACACCTTGAAACAAGCCAACATCTTTCCTTAATTTGCTCTCCTTGCTTCCCAGCAACTTGCCACCTTTCATTTAAGTCTGAAGTGACTTAAAATATCCTTGCAAGTGGGTAGAAAACGATAGCACACTTAAAGAAACTGTTGAGAAACAGTGCTGATTCGAAACAGCACGTGTTGGGCGACCGGTCGCTTTTGCACAGAGTCTCCAAACTTCGAATTGTCTTCCTGCGACCGGTCGCAAAGAGCTATCGACCGGTCTCTCGTCGACTTAGCTCCAGACTTCGAATCTGTGTAGAAACGACCGGTCGCAAATGTCCTGCGACCGGTCGCTGGTCCAATACTTTATATCCTTTAAGCGAGCCAATTTTCCAACATGAGGTTGGCATAAAATTCTCCAGCCAATTTTAGCTAACATAGCCAGGTTGAAACAAGTCAATTCCCCGAAATCCCAGCCCACCATCTTTCTTGAGCCTAGACAATTGCTTCCACCCCACCCAGTGGATTGGCTTACGATCAACACCATTCTTCCACCAAAACCTGGCAATCTCACCTTCAATTTCCTTGCATAAGCTCACCAATAACTTGGAACAGGACATGGCATGATTTGGCATTGCCATGGCCATAGCTTTGATCAAAATCTCCTTTCCAGTAGCAGATAAAAATTGCTCAGCCCACCCGTGTAGCCGCTCACCAATTTTCTGAGGCACAGATTCAAAAATCTGCTTTTTAGATGCACCAAAATCTGCTGCAAGGCCCAGATATTTGCCGAACCCATCCTTACATTGAATATGCATCCGCT